TGTAGATGAATGCATTGGTTGTTTATTATTTGAACACACAAGTTGCATTACGATAGTCCTAGTATTTTATAGTTAAGCCAATGTATACTGTTGTATTTAGTACGCCTTTGTTACCATAAGACTAGATAAGTAATCTTTTCAATTATAGTATTTTTTTTTTATTGTACCTTACCTGTATTTAATATGTGTGCTAATCTCTGTGATTGCTAGCATATACTTCTATGTACCTGGTGAATACTCAGGCATTCATAGCCTTAGTACCTATTACGTAGTATCTACCAGCACTTAGTGTTTCTAGTTAGTAAATACTATATTTTGTATGTGGTAGTCATTTGTATCAAAGTAAGTTAGCGTTCCTGCATATGCCATATATTCTCTTCAGTACTCTGTACTGATGTGTTGGCCTATATGGTTGTAGCAGTTAGTGGCACTATACATTACCCACAGTCCCCACGACCGCATGTAGCCCACTGCCCCGATATATTACTTGTATCCTACCGTTACTGTGTGTGCAGCTTACATATGCTATATCGTGTGTTGTTCGTATTAAAACGTAGCATTCTCATTGTGGATCGGTATCACTTGTAGTCTTGTTATCAGACGATAACGGAACAATGATTGGGGTCAATGCACTAGTATACCAATAAGTTGTGTTTGTGTGCGACTCGTCAACATTCAATGTTTGTCCACGTATATGAAGATAGTTAAAACAACAATCCCACAAATATTGGCTAAATTTCATTTGAATATTTACTAATATGCCCATGTTCACATGTCGCATGTGACGCACAACTGCAATAAAAGCGTTCTCAACGTGTCCATCACATAGTAAATTACTTTCTGCTCAAGCTACCGCTGTAAGTAGGACCCAATGAATGTTTTTTTTAAATGAAGGGCCAGCCTACGCGTCGCCAATTGTTGCGCACAAAGATATCCCTGCTTATGCCCTATTCGCACACAATAATTGGCGGCGCGTCGTCCCTAAATAAACACACCCCAGTATTTTAAGTCACGAAATGAATCTGATTTAGGCGGAAAGGAAAACAACCCTGACAACACGATCAGATAGCAAGGTAGGCTTGGTCTAATTGAAGATCATATGTCATCTTTCCATCCTCAGAATACCAAATATTAAAGCAAGTATTCAGATCACCAAACAGACAGAGAAACAAACACTCGAAATTGTGCATGTTTGCGATGTGTTTTTTTTGGTGGTATTTATTTTTCATATATGGCGTCAGTTTTATATCACACCACCATCTTGGCAGAATGACTGATTGGGCATCAAGTTAAGGTCATTATTTTATATATACATATCAGGCACTTAAAGGTAAATTATTAAACCTTTAACTTGTATCAAGGCACTATGCAAAGATACAACAAATAATTATAAATCATGCTTATATCAGTTGATATTCCATTGTAACAAGACTTTTTAACTACCAAATTAATTAATTATTTAATTGATTGGCATTTGTCAACACGCTTATGATGAATTAAAAATACACGATTATTGTCAAACCAGATTAGCTCGTGCAAGTTTTCAGGGTGCTGGACCTTGTGATTTTGAATATTAATTGCACCTGTGTTGCGTGATCAGTTAGGGAATGTCATGTCAATGCCAGCAACTCTATACAATGAGGCAACTAGTGTTACAGTACCTTAGCAATCCATGTAAGAATCGCGCACAACATAGTTTTTACCCTTTTAAGCGTTTTGCTTTTCATGGATGTAAACGTGATTATGCGTCTTTGTTTGTCTTTGTAACAATATCTAAAAAATAAATAACTAATACATTTGATAGACAAAGGAACAAATTTAAAAAAAATCCAACTGAAAAATTGAAGCACAACATTTACACATTAGTTATACCTTCTGCCTTCCCAAATATGATATAGTCGATCCATCTTTACATATAAGTAGTATCGGTAACAACGTCATTCCAGACGACACGGACCGTCGAATAGGCGTGTTTGATAGCGTATATCCTATATTAATATGTGCATATTTATTACCTGTGTCGGATCGAAGCAGGGCGTCGGTGGGCTGTACAGTGCTGTATATATGTAATTTTCCCACATATCATAGTAATTCAGTGCAATGAAGCTGTGTAGTACTCGAAAAAAAAATCAGTCATCTACTTGAAAATTGCTTGGCTGCATAAAAATTACGACGCTATATGAAAAATGCTCCCCTATCTTGAAAATAGCGTCGCATATTGCGAGGTAACCTTCGATCTGCATATATGAATCGGAAGTACAATAAATTCTGTACACCATGTACGATTTTCTTGTGTATGCTTACGAAATCGGGTAAACCAGGTCGAGTTGACTGGGGATGTAAAGCTCCTATCTGTTTGTTAAATGATGTGAAGTCAACCACCGTCCTACTTGGAACACCATATTTGCATCAGTGTTGAATGTATTGGCATGCTGGCTGTATGCTTTGTAGGGAAACGAGTTACAAGTCAGTGCCCATTCTAATCCTATACAACTAAAGTACACCTAATATTAAACAATCGAATCATGGTTATCTAATTTGCACTGTCGACTCGTTACCAAAATCCACTGTACTGTGCATCACGGTTACATCATTAAAACAAAACATTGTGCACATAATGGCGTCCGAACTTTAAATAATTAGCAAACAGTAAACAAATTATTACTACTAAGTTTGGCCTTTATTCTCTGAAATGCGATATGACGGGATTCTTTGACGGCGTATGATTTTGGAAGTTTGGTTAAAACAGCCCTACCAATGGAGCTAAAAAATATGTCCTATAACGTCAGTAACTATTTTTCCCCTGACAACTCGTGTGTGATTGGTAGTTATTTTCCCGCCATGTTTTTCTGTTATGTCAGGAGACCGACAATCAGGACCATCATTCCCCTGGTCATCTGGTAGAGCTACAACTATGACAGTATATACGCATGTTAATATCCCTGCAACTACTTGTGTACGTTTAATATAATCTTTCTCACCCTTATCAAAGATCTTTTGTAATTTTTTAGCATATTGATAACAATGATAAAACTTCTGTTTACCAATTTTGTTGCGTTGGTCAACTTGCCCTACCTGCTATTTTATTTCATATGGCCCCTGCTGTTGCATACACAGTTTGTCCACAGAAGTGAACAACAAAAGCAAAATACTTCAAACCTTTGCTTTTATTGTTAAAATGCGATCTATACTGCTTACTTGACTTGATAACCGCTATGCTATCTGGCAGGTGGTTTCCGAACGATTTCTCATATTAAGGTAGGGATGCAGGTTCGTGTTCGTTCGTTCGTGAGTGAGTGAATTTTTTTTTTGCTTTTTATTATCCAAACAGTCTTGGTTATAGACTGTTCACAATTCTACAAAATTTTAACATACTCAAAAGACGATTATAAAATATAGATAACAGGTGCAAACATTCTCTCTTTTGAATGCTTAGCAAGATTTAGCAAGGCTGCACATAAATAATAAAAGAGAAACATGGTGAAAACAAGAAATGACAGGATCTCCATATCATGCACTATATTTAACTTCTTACAAAATGATAATACATTAAAATTTGGAAGTGTTACAGCCATTTTAATTATGAGTATGAGCAAACTTCTTACTGAGTGAATTGTTATGCAAATTAGCAATTATCCCAGCTTCTATTTAGTGCACATCCCAGAACTTTAAAAAAAATAGCTTCTAGACGCTTTGACCTACTGTTTTGAAATTTTCACAAATGATTGACAATGTGTTTATCTTCAAAACGCCGTCGGGGCATTGTTTTTGGTTGAACAGTGTTACAATAATCGTACAGACAACTAGTCTGGGTGTTAATTGATGCATAAACTTGAAGTAGTGAAATTTGAGCTGCTGCCCTGCAAAATTGACAACTGGTAGACAGTTTTCAAGATGGCACTTTCTTCATAGTAAACTTCAAACTCTGCTATACCAGTTCTAATTCTAGGCCCATTAATTAGTATGCAAGTGCCCTCCACATCACTCATTTGTTATGGGTGCATCAAACCAGTTCATACTGTTATCCCAGTACAGCCAGAATACTCACCGCAAGGCCAATTTCTTTGCCCACTGCAACAGGCACGGATATATCCTCAGACACCTCTCTGATACCAATCCCCATCATAGCAGGAACATGCATGACCTTCTCGTCTCACTTTTTTTTGTGAATTAGCCGTTTGTATTAGTTTGCCCTTGGTGATCGCAACCAGGGAAGGGCCACAGCGGAATTGTCAGATG